TGTAAGACAAAATAAATAAATTTTAAAATTTAACTTCAGCTAACAACTTAACTATGAAAAGACCTAATTTTGTGTTAAAAATTAAATGGGAAACAAATATTACGAAATTTAAAATATCTTGAAAATAATTTAGCTGAAATAATTTGAACTACATTCATTCTCCTTAAGTATTTCATTTTCAATCTAATCCCACCAATATAATTATTCTGACAAACAACTACTAACTAACAATTGTTTCTCATCTCACGGGTATAACATAATTCACCGCTGCAGCTAATATCATCTTACTGCTCAAAACTTCAAAACTCACGGTTAAAAAAACTTTTGTTGAGCTAATTAAATTCAATATTATTGAGTCTTCAACACTACCACATATAGCTTCAAAGGTCCCCTCGGAAGATTTGAATCTATGACAAGAAATACTTGTCTCACCCATTTAATGTACACGGATGTTATGAATTATGTGTCACTTCATGTGAAAGTGGTTTGAAAGGATAAATGCATGAAAAAGTAAGGAAAATTAGGAAAAGGAAAAGGAAATAAAAGTAAACACGTTTTTGAAGGGATGTTTTTTCTGTCATAGACAACATGTTTTATCTATGACAAAAAAGCCTTTACAAAAAAAATCACAGACAATGTGTACAAGTATGTAAACTCTAAAGTGTGTACAACAAGAAATGTTGAAATGAAACAGGGAAAACTACTCGAAGGGATAAATAAGGAATGAATATAGAAAGAATGGCTAAAATATTATCTACACACTTTGAATAGACAAAAATATGACCACTTTTCATCTGCACAAAAAAGTGAGTTCCTTAAAAAAGAAAAGCCCAGCCCAAGCACCGTTGAACTTCGTCCGCCTAAATCCCTGCGGCTTCCTTCTTCTCCCAGCTTGGCATCGTCAAAATCAATCGCAGAAGCATCGACCAGTCAACCTCCTTCACCGAGTAGCAATCGTGGCTGCCTCCACTCCCCTGGACATTGTCGCCGCATCCTCTGCTCCCATGGACGTCGCTGCTGCAGTCTCCTTGGCCGCCTCCGTCACGCCGATAACAGAACAGCGCACGCAACGGTGGTTTTCTCCATCGTTGCCCCTAGACCTCAGCGTCACCCTACCCCGCTTCTTTTACTTCCCTTTCAGTCCGGCGGTTATGGTTGGATCTGGATCTAGATCCTAGAGACTACGGCTATGGTTAGATCTGGGGCGGTGGTACGGTGGCTGTGGGGTCGTGTCGGGCATCGATGGTGCTTGGTTGGGGCTTGTTTGACAATACTAGAGCTGGAGGTCTGTGGGGTGAGGTTCGCCGGCGACCGGCGGCGTCAGTCACCGGCGGTGATGGTGTAGGGAGGTCACTGATGTGCGGGTTGGTTGATGGAAAGCAACGATTAAGGCGACACTAGAGGTTCTCTGGTTGTGCCGGAAGTGTGGCCGTCAAATTTGATTAAAATTTATTTTTTGTCAGAAAAAAGTCACCAGAAAATTTTCCGACGATCACAGTGACACCGACAACGGTCTTAGTGACATTGGCGGCGGTGTCAGTGACATTTGTGGTGGCGGCAGTGACATAGTCGATGACATTAGTGACATATGAAAGTGACATTAAAATTTGATAGTGACATCCCTTAGTTACACGAAAATATACAGTGACATCGATTAGTCATATTTTTGTTCTAATTTAAATGATGTCACTTTTTTGGTAGTTGGCTTTAATTTGATAATATTCACGTAAAAACTCCATGAATATAAGCATTTAGAGATTATATTATGAGACGACGCAGATTAAAAATTAGAACTCCATATAACAGCACAATATGAACAAGCAACTGCTATCCATTCTTGTTAAACACTTAAACATGCATCAGAAAACGGCACTCATACATTTTTCATGGAGCTTGCAATGCCCGCAATTGTAAAAACTCCTTAGGGCACATTTGGTTAAAGGTTATCTTCTATGCATGTCGTTAGGGGCGGATCTGGAAGGGGGGCCAGGGGGCCGGTGCCCCTGCTTCACCAGTCCGAGATGTACAGGAATGGGTAGGGAGCCCCCGGTCTGGTACGTTCTCCATGGAGTTTTCTGGTGAATGTATGTTGAGGGTGTGAGGACGGAAGATGATGAACTAAACTGACCGAAGAAGACTGAGGGCTATTTTTTATTTAGTATTTACTGTGGAACGATGACGTTTCGTAGGATCAATTAAAAAAAACAGCTCAACTTCCCTAGTCGATTGGGCCAACTGCCAAGCTCCAACAAGAAACAGCCCAAACAGGAAAATATGCATTAGACAGACCAAACGGCAACTCTACAAGCCTTGAATCTCTCTCAAGGTCTGGAATGAGTTATCACCAATTTCGCAGCAGCGCCACATCGGAAGGGGCGCCCCGCGCCAGGACTCCCGGAGCTAGCTCACCGCCAGAGTATGCATTTCTTGATGCTAACAGCCACTCCCGCTAACAGCCATCCTCTGCCACTGTCCGTTGTATTTGTCGCCCGACAATTATTATTATTGTTGTCTTTCTTTTGCGATTGTGCCCTCTTAGAATAATTTCTAGTTCCGCCAGTGCATGTCGGGATCTATATCTAGAATTTGAGATATATATACAAGTTTGGTTCTGGAGTTAAAAAAAAGGAATGTTACGTTTCCAAAAAGTGAGGAATGTAATCTCATGGCCGGTAATGTTAACCCCATGAAGCTCTTAGGTTATCTTGGATGCCTGCTTGGTTACAACACTTCTTCCAAAAATACCCACTCAGATTAGAGTTGGACTTGGGCCGGGCCTAGACTCGGCCGGGCCGCCGGTTCTGAATAGATGGGCCTAGGACAGGCCCGGGTACCTACCGGGTCCGGTCCGGGTCCAGGCCGGGTCGGGCCTATTATCGATTTTTTTCCTTCTTCCTAATTAACCCCCCTCCCACCCCAAACCCCCCAAATGGCCCAAAATATTCAGCCCAATCCGAAAATTTTAAAAAAAAATTGAAAAAAAAATCAATTTTGGCCCGAACCGGGCCTTGTTTTGGGTGACCCGAGCCCAGACCGGAAAACCCACGGGTCGGGCCTACCCGTACCGGTCACTGACCAGGCCACCGGGTCGGGCCGTGCCGGAACAGTACCGGTCCCGGGCCGGTTCCGGGTCGGGCCACCCGGCCCGAGTCCAAGACTACTACATATGTTCATTATGCATTTGCCACTGATCTTTGTCATTTGAGCAACTAAACATACTTTTTTTAAATATTCAATTAGTTTTATTTTTTTTATTATTGAGATATTTCATTTTTTATTTATTTTAAATTATTTCAAATGTAGGACGTAATAAATTTATTGTGTTAAAAGAATATTTGAAGGGCATTGAAGTATTCCATCAAGTCTGCAATATAAGATACATAATATCATTCAACTAAACAAATTAATGTCGCATTCCCTTAATCTTAACCAAACACAAATGAGATACAGATTGCATTTTCATCAATCTAACATACTCAGTGAGCTAACATTCACGTGGTAATCTGACATTCCTTGAACCAAACAAGCCCTTAGAGTATTAAACAAATCTAGGCAATTAGGCATGGACTCGGGTCGGTCAGGGCCGGTCCTGACCGGGCATTTTTTTGGTTTCTTGAGGCCCGGAACCAGCCCGGGTAGTCACCGAGTACGGGTCGGGCCCAGACCGGTTGACCCGATTTTTTTCTGATTTTCTAATTACTTCCTACCCCCCTCCCACCCTCCCCCCACACCCCAAACCCCTCCAAAACACCTAGCCCAAACCATTTACCTTCCAAAGATTGTTAAAAAACATGGTCCAAACCGGGCTTAGCCAGACCGGTTCACTTTCTGGCGACCCGAAGCCCGCCACGAAAACTGACGATTGGGGTATAATGCACCCAGCCCGGGTACCGGGTACCAGGTCAGGCCGAAACAAGGCCGGGCTGGTTAAGGCCGGTTACAAGCTGGTTGACCCGGCCTGAGTCCACCCCTAAACAAATCTATATAGCAACTTCTTGGAGCATTCCAATTTCCAAATGCAAGTAGTTTCAGTTTATTAGGAATTAGGATAGAGTAAATTCCCTAAATAAGAGTAAAAAAGTTTTGAAATTCCAAAATAGAAGTATTATGTTTTTTATTCCCTAAATATGAGTAAATTTCTGCCAAGTTTGACATTACTAGGCTTTTAAACATGGTATATTTTCCAAACTGGACAGATTACTCCTATTCAAGAAATAAAAAACATCATTCATCCATTAGCTCCTTTAGTAAGATGATAGAAGGAAAGAAATGTGGTTAAAGATCAAATTGTCCATTTCTTTATTCAATAGAGAGTGACTAGAAACTTTAACAAATTGCGATGTGAACTCAAAATTATATTATTATTACTATTATTATTATTATTATTAACAATAATAATATAAAGAGAAATTTGCAATATTCATCCCGTAACTTTCGATCGTTATCATAATTAGTCCTCTAACTAATTAATATTGCAATAATCATAACTTTAATCACTTGCAAATTTGGTCATCTAACTAATTAATATTTGCGAATTAAGGACTTTTCCCCTGAAAAGTACACTTTCCGACAATAGCATACCGGAAAAGATGTCACCGGCATTGGACTTTTCCGCCGGAAAGTGTACTTAAAGTTACAGGACCAAATTTGCATGTTCTTAAAGTTACAGGACCAAAAACGATAACAACCGAACGTTACAGGACTAAAATTGCAAATCTCCCTAATATAAATAACAAGAATGATTTAGTATGGAGTAATAACTACAATTGAAATAGAAATACAATCAGAACTTAAAATACTTCCGAGGGGTCTCAGACTCACAGCACATTAAATATAGAAAGCAATACTGCCAATACATGACGCCTTTTAAAAAAGTTAAAAGTAAAGCCATCTAAATATCTAATAAAGGTCCAAATCAAATTGGAGGTCAATTTTGTTTCCAAATTCCGAAGTCCATTTCTTGTTTCCATGTGAGGGGCTGAAAACATAAAGGTGGGTGGGGTACGTTTTTTAAAAGCATGCATTTTTTGGTGCAAATACTGTTCATCAGAGTTTGACGTGTATACAAGAAGTGTTAGCGTTTCATAAACTGTTATTGATAGTACTAGTATTTTAAGGTCTAAGTAAGGGCAAAAAAAAAAAGACAAAAAGAGAGTCCAGTGAAATATTTGAGGAATTCCTTCGCATGGATATTTGGGGGAATGAATGAGGCACCCATTTAGGGTCCTGTCATATGCAATGGGAACTATCTCTTCTTTTTGCCACCCTTTCCCGGTTTGGAAGAACCAGCAGCTGCAGAGGATGCAGGCTCTTGCTTCTTTGTCCTATTTGGATGTCTAGGAACCAACTCTGCCACATGCATCATCAGCTCTTTTCCTGCAATGTAACGTCTCCTAAGATTTAACCAAGGAAAAAAATACATGACATGTTTAAGTATTTAATGTGTTCTATTTGTCAGCTCTCCCTCTCACTTGCCCTGCACTTCTACCCGATATCTCTTTCAATGTTAGCTGGCGGGGAAGGGCTTTCCTACGGTAGTCCCTCTGCGGCCTACGAGAGCCGGTCCCATCTCATCTTGATTTAGCTCGCCTTATACTTGGCTAGACTTTATTTGTGTCACAATTGAACCATACTTGAATCAGAACTTTCAACAATAAACAAAAAAGAATTTTATGGGTTGAGAATCAAAAGTTTTTCTCAGAGAGGTTTTCCTTGCTTAGAAAAGTGTTCCTTCTCTTAAAAGATTTGGAGAACTCTCAGCAATGGTGCATATTCAATCGGGTCTGGTGCTTTTGTTTCAAAAAGCCCTGGAAATGTCCTGCCTGTGTTGTTTTGACTTCACAATAGAATGGGGATTCTTGTCCCTTGCCTTTGAAAGACAAAAAGGCACTCATTACTCATTAGTACACTTTCACCATTACAGCTAAGGAAAGCAAAAGTGGATCATAGGAGTGCAACCAAATCAAATACCCTTGAGATTTTAATTTTGAAATTCCTATAAGGCTACAACAGATAGGAGTTTCTATACATCTTTTTTATTTGTTGAACTCCAAGGGCACAGGAATAAATTTGCTAAATGTAAACTTATACTCTGTAAGTTTTTTACTCCGCTATAATATGTAAACTCTTTTGGGAACAAATTTCCTTGTCAAGTTTTCCTCCTTTCCCTAGCATTTTACACGATCCAAACAGATCCTAAAAGATTGAAGTTTTCCATGTTTATGGGGAAAAATCAGATATATAGATTGGAGAAACCTATTGGATGAACCTAGGACCATACATATATGTATGAGTGATCTTAGTCGGTAGGATTTCAAATTAACTCATTCTCAATTAACAAAATTTTATAGAAAGCACAAAGATGAAAGATAGGGGATTCTTGATACCATAAGTATGTGCTTGATGAAGTCTAAACAACCCTAACCTATGATGCCCCAATGCTCAGTAGTGGTGTCGTACCTGCTTGTACCCATGTTTCTGATGCTGATACACGTATTATACGTATTGGAACTGTATGCCTGTATATGTTATTTTTAGAAAGTACCGCTATTTGTCAAAAATGAAAGCTTTCTGATACCCATTGCCCTTAAGTCGATAGACGTATTTAAGTTAACCTCTTACAGCAATAATATTCATCGCATTAAGTTTTCACTTTCGACAAACCAATATTCAAGAGACACAAGTGACTAACTAGTGTAGTATTGAAATTCAATAACTCTAACATTCAGCAATTAATTACTCTTAACTGAAGTCTAATTCTAAAATCTTATCATGGTTATGAACTTTTGGTATTAAAGTCCATATTATTATTATACTAATTATTATTATTATTAAGATATATGAAAAATTATTTTAAGTGTTTTTGCATATTAAACCCTATATTTTTTATTATTTACAAACAAACCTCATACTTGCATCCTAGATCTTTTAAAAGTGTCTAATGTTGTACCAATATTTGCCTATTGACTTTTACTCGACGCCTAGGCGGGCTACGTGCTAGGCGGCCAGTCACGACCCGACTAGCGCCTAGCGAATTTTAGAACATTGACTATAGCTATATCTGTGTGTGCATACGGCCATACACATGGAGCTGTGGAGCAATAACCCAAAGAGGCTTAGGGCATTGTAAATTCAATCCTCTTCCTGACACGATCTAAAAAACATTTTTTATTTTGAAAGACACACTATAGTCTATTAGTATCAATTTTTGTCATCTCTCACTTCGAATCCACATCCATTTTACTTGTACATTTATCAAACATGAATAGATAGGTTTCCAATAGATATTTAACATTTAATAACCTAACTTGGTGTACATAGTATGAGTAAGAGTTTTATTACGATGCTGAGGATCAGTGTTGAGAATGACAAATTATGGTGGATGGCCAAATACAACCATACGGATAGGGCGGACGGCATTGCAGAAAATGGTGGAAAGTGGAAACAGTGGATTAGGTAAAAAATATTACATGTAAAAGGATAGACTTACTGGAAGAAATAGCTGGATTATACAGAGACCCATCTTCCTTTTTCAGTAGAACTCTCACTCTCCCTCTTTGCATATAGTCACGTGGATATGCCTTTTCAGTCTGATAAAAACATAACCCAAGATATACAATCACTACTCATCATAACATATAACCACCTTGTAATTGGTCAAACAAGAATCTATCACATGTTCAAAGCAGGGAATATGTTAGGAGTTTAGCCTGGGCTGGACAGAAGGAAAGATTGGTGTGGGCTAAGTGAGAAGGAATAAATCTTTTTGGTTAAAACTTCACATTTTTAAGCTATTTAATAATTCTGTCCTTCGTTAAAGGTTATAATGCCTAACAAAACAGCAGAAGCTCATTAACTTTGATCTATTCACAGTGCAACAAAAGAGCATTCAATTTTCATAGATATCAGAGAACTCAATACAGTTTAGGTTCTTTCTTAATGAACATCAAATTCTATACAAAGATAGGCAGAAGAGGCAAAATAAACATAATCAAGGATTTAAATAGTGAAGCTCTCACATATGGGTTTATGGGGTCTTTAGTTCTTTACTGATAGTCACTTACAAGTTACAAAAGCATTAGAAGTTATCAAAGAAGAAATTGAAAAGAAACACGACCTCTATAGCGCTGAGGACTTTCAGGTGATTACAACAATCTTGAATCTCAGCACAAGTAGGGTTTTCACAAGCTTTGCTCACACTGATTCGCCTTCCCTCTGCGATTGTCTTCTTTGAATTTATATACACTGGGTATAAAATATTCCACTTTTTTATGTTTGGTACATTTGCATCCATTTCCCTACTCAATTACAAGTACATGCACATGAACAAAATTATTATAGCAAATCTATCATCATTATATAGAAGCAAAACACTTGGACAGTATTCCCTCCCGAACATCATGGTATAGAGGAGAACCGTTGTATCTCATTGAACCGGTCACCATCTAATCCCCACACTCCTTCATCTCTCATTTTGGCTAACCTGAGTAACCTTTACCCTCTCCATCAGTATATCAAATTCTTCACCCATTTATACATATTCACTCAATGAATTCAGCTTTTTCCTACAATCCAGCACCGTATATTCATCTAACAATATTTTTTTATTAAAGTCATACTTATTTTATCATACATCATTTTTTGCCAAACAATTTTCGCAAATGATTTTGATTCAAAATGTCAAACACTCTGATATAAAAATAAATAAACTCGGAGTTAAATTTTTTATTGTTACTTCAAACCTATTTTTGGAAAACAAATAACTAATATATGTAAAAAAAGAACCATGATAATTTAACTTTTGCACTTGAATTTACTTGAAAAATTTTGGGTCTGCAAACCTCGAGCAATTGAAACTTCATATTTATTTTAAGCTTTATATATATAATATTGGTGTCATGTAAACGATCATAAAAAGTTATAAGATTATTTTTATAAAATGAGGTTTTTTTCTACTTGGGTCCCGCATTAAGCTGCACTCTTTCTCTTGAATTCAGCTGACTTTTGTGTTAGCTTCTTCCTTCTGAATAAGGGTATGAGCTTCTCATCCCAAGGGTGTCACACATCCACTTTGACACCCTTGAATACATTATTTAGTTTAGGTTGGAGCATATTTGGGGTGAATACCTCAAATTTGAGGTTTTCGCTCCATGGAATGTGAACAGCCTTACTCCTCTCAAAAATTAAAACTAGGGACAGAGGCACATATAAACACGTGGTGTCAAGTTGGGACGCTAAATATAAATAACACCATAAGTTCTTGAAAAATACTGTCAATGTATAAAATCTACTCCTATCTCACAATTTTTCCATTTATCATTTATGATATGAAAAGTAAAATAATAAAGACAATTTGCTGTAATATTTAGAAAATTAAACTATAAAACTTTAAAAAAACATTAAAAGAAAATTAGAAGGTTGTTTTGACTTCTTTAACAGATGTAGAGGCCGTTTGGTAACACTGTTTTCAGGCTTATCAGCCAATTTTTTCACCAAACACGTAACTTTTGTTTTCGCGCGCTGAATTGTGTAATAAGCACAAAAAGTAAGTTTTGGGTTACTTTTCTGGCTGTATTGGCTGAAGTTACTGTAGATGATCATTTTAGCTATTTTTACATATAATTTTTAATTTATTTTATTAATAAAATATATTTTAAAATTATTTTTTCTTAAATCAGCAGAATCAGTCAATGCAGCCACTTCAGCCAGAACTTCATAAATTTCAGCAGAATCAGCCAAATCAGCCGATTTTCGTGCTACCAAACGGGCTCGTAATAAAATGGTTTTATTGTGAGTACATAAGGACTTCATACGTTTTAATTTTATTTAGTTAATGGATAAATGTTGCAAATGGAATTAACATAGAATAAATAAAACTGAACACGAAAAAAAAAATTGTTATAAACGTTTGATAAAAATTTATAAAAAGGTCATATATTTGTACTAATTTATTTAAATATATTCTATAGTGTTATATATGTGGATTTTCTTATAATATTAGAAAAGTAGAATTTATGGAGAAAAAATGACTACAACTACTATGTGCACACTATAATTATCACTCCAAAGTAAATTTTAACATGATCGTGTTGATTACAATTATAGTTATGTACACTGTCTATTTAAAAAATCAGTTTTGCGTTCAAATGTTGTTTCAATAACTAAATCAAGTGGCAATGAAACACTACAAATATATAGGTGTACGCCTGTGTATACAAACAAATTATATTTAAATATAAGTATATGTTTTGGAAACTAAAAATGTAGCAAATGAATAAACATTTCTGAAGTGATTTTTGACTTACAGGGTGACATGCTTTTGAAAATAAAAAACATCAATTTTTTCTGCCATTTGGGAAACTTAGGTAAAGATTTGATATACAATATCTTTCTGAATGGTTCTGTTGACGCGAGTGAATGAATCAAAATGGGTTTCTGGATTTGCTAAGGTTTCAACAGAACGATATCACTAATTTAACTAAATATTTAAACAGCTATGAATTAATGAACTAATCAATAAAAGAGGGCTAAAGGGGAATACCGGATGGTTGGAAGTGAAAATCGAGAAGGGTCGATTGGCCGAACCGCCGAAGGGTGAGTGGCGGCGAGCGGGCGACGGGCGTGATGTGAGTAGGAGACGACTGAAGAGACGTGGTGGTTCTGTCGTGCTGCGTGCTGGCGCCTGACGGAGGGTGAAGGCCGCGAAGCGTTCGACAGTTTGTGGACGATAGCTGTCGATGGATCCAGAGATGCTTACGCCGCTTCCTCAGACATTTACATAATATATTGGGCCTTTCGTCAGTTGGACCAGATAATATTGGGCCTTACCCGTTTAAGCCACTTTCCCCTTAGAGCATCTTTAATGCTACACTTTTGACATTAGAAAAAACTTGTCACATCACGAAGTCACGAAGTGTTTGATTTTTTTGCCTTGGGAGCACGCAAGTCCACCCATAGTTGTCATGGCGCATGGCGCAACCCATGTCACACAAGCCATTTTCCATGGCGATGGCGATGACGCAAATATGGCGTCGACACGTGACAAAAAAAAACCTTCAAAATGAATAATAGATACTGCAATTCATCAACCCAAGTTTACCCAACCACCAAAACATGATAAAATAGTTCAAAGTACTTCCAAAAAACATAATATTCAAAAAAAAAGTTTCTGTCTTGCAAAATATGTTAGGATTTAGGCCTGTTAGCTTGTTTTTGTTTGATGATTATGGCATAATCATCATCAATCATCAGACTCCTCATCATCTTGGTTTGAATCTGATAGCAATGGCACACCATCCTCATTCATTTCATCCTCAGACAGTGGCGGACCCACTAATGGTCTCACGGTATCCCGGGACCCCATGGACTTCCAAATAAATACCTATATATTATATATATTTTATATAAAATTAACTAAGATATATATATATATATATATATATATATATATATATATATATATAGTAAAAGAAGTGAACAAAACCAAAGACTGGAGTAGCATAACTGGACCATGCATCACATTAGAAATTTCTCTCTCCGAGGTACCATGTTCGACTCTCTCACCACCCTTAATTTTTTGTTTTTTAAACTTATTCCATGACATCAAAACAAGGGTGGACCTACATACATCTTCAATTACAGAATTATCTAATTCTTCAATTAATTAGGCATGTAAGGATGTTTTTACTTGTACTTTAATTTGTTGGTCAAATTTTATTTTTTATATTTTTGCATAAAGATTTTATTTTATATATATATTATAATCCATAAATAATTATATTTTATTCATTTATAATTAAAAATAATAATATTCCTTCCACATTATCGAAATTGTTATCGTTTTACTTGGACTAAAGCAGATCAGACCAGATCGAAGCAGATCAGACCAAATCATATAAATACAGAGTCTTCTTCCAGACCATCTGCCGTCTATTTTCAGGTATTCTTTTCTCTTGTGTTCTCGTTATATCACGGACTCCATTTTGTTCTCATGCCGTCATTTCTCTCGATCTGCTATTTCGCACGAGATCTTTCTGGCTAATAACTTACATTTGTCGTGACTTGTTGTTGCAAATCCGATTTATTGGTCAAGTTAAATATATACAAACAGTCCACATTTAACTCACAAAATGTATCTTCAATATCCACATTTATCTTCAATTAATGTTATCCCACAAAAATATATACAAACAGTCCACATTTAACTCACATTCTTTTTCAAGACGTTAACATCACAGACAATGTCACTCATGTACTTCATCAAAAAGTATCAACATTCCATAGAACCAGTTTTCTTATCTGGCACTAGATAAGTGTCAAGTACAGATTAGTATTATTATACAATCAATATGAATAAACTTCATGTGATTTTTTTCACATTCTTTTTCATTGATTTTAATTTTTCAACTCTATATGAATAAAACTTCATGTGATTTTTTTCAATCAATGTGTAGGCATTTATATGAGAAGATGCTTCAAGATGGAGGTAATATGTCAGTCCAATTTGGCACGTCTGCTGCAGTACCAGTACCATTGAAACCCTCAGATGAGTCTATTACAAGGAGGTCTCGCTACATAGCAGATCTTTTGGGTGTTGGTTTGCCTGGACAAATCACACTAATCCCTTATAATACATGGTAATTACGATGGTTAGAAGTATTACACTAAATCTTTTTTTGCTACTGATTCGTATCCTTTTATTTCAATCTGGAATTTTTTATAGCAATTGATTAATTTTATAATATAACGTGTAGCAATCATTGGGTGTTGGTAGCCATTGATGTTGTGCCATGGACAATGTACTATTTGGACTTAATTGGAAAGAATCCATCAGAAGATATGTCACTAATTGTGAACCAGTTAAGTTATTTTTGAGTGTCATACATTGTGGTACTTAATCACAATGCAAGTATGTAGCTATGCTTTTTTTATAATTGTTTCAGTCAGAGCATTGTGTTGAAAAATAGACACTTTTATAAGTCCCTGAAAAAATAATGTACTCATATCTAACTTGTATTTGAATATCAGGGGAGTGAAAATTCATCACGCTTCAGTTTCAAAGAAGAGGTTATCTCTGAATTGGGTTAGAGTCATGGTATGTTCTTCATTGCTCTAAATTGTATTTGGTGTGTTTACATTATGTTGTATAATAATACTAATTTGTACTTGACACTTATCTAGTGCCATAAGCAAACTGGTTCTATGGAATGTGGATACTTCTTGATGAAGTACATGAGTGACATTGTATGTGATGTTAACGTCCTAAAAAAGAATGCGAGTTAAATGTGGATTGTTTGTATATATTTTTGTGGGATAACATTAATTGAAGATAAATGTGGATATTGAAGATAAATTTTTGTGAGTTAAATGTGGACTGTTTGTATATGTTTAACTCGACCAACAAATCGGATTTGCAGCAACAGGTCACGACAGATGTAAGTTGTTGGCCAGAAAGATCTCGTGCGAAATAGCAGATCGAGAGAAATGACGGCATGAGAACAGAATGGAGCCCATGAGATAACGAGAACACAAGAGAAAAGAATACCTGAAAATAGACGGTAGATGGTCTGGAAGAAGACTCGTCCGACCAGGCCGGGAGAGAGACTCCGGATTAAAGCGCTGGTTTGGGTTGAATCGCACGAACGAGAGCAGAGGTCACGACGGTAATCGCTTGATAGATGAAGTAATAACCAGCGTATGTGTGTGGGGATTTAATTGACTGCAGGGAGATGAAGACTCACGACCGCTATTGTTAATCGTCAATTGATCGATCTAGCTAGGGTTCGGTGCAGTGTAACGCGGGAAGAGAGGGAAAGGTGGAATACGTGATACATAGGGTTCGGCCTGAGGATAGATGCAAAATATGTTTAAGTATTTTTTTAATTTTTAATATTTGACACAAAAATGTCAAAGAATAATAAAAGTTTTAGAAACAAATGTCAATGTGAAATAGTGATACAATTGTATCAGAAAATACTGACACTTATATATTAAACACAAAATATGTCGTATATTAATGACACTATATTAGAAAGTGTCATTGTAAGGCAGTTTTCTAGTAGTGTCCTGTGAAACAACTTACTTTTCACCTAAAGGAAAGAGTCTAATTAAATCAACAATATCAAACCTTTTTGAAAAAATTAAACCAACTCCCAGTGTTCCATAAAGTTTGATTAACAAGTTATCTTTATATCTAACATATTATTGAGTAATTAAAAGTTCTGACCGACAATTCCGACACGTGACTGGTGATACTTAAAAAAGATTTAAATCACTACATGTAATATGCCCAGTAGCATCCAAATCAATTATCATGCGCCATGCAACTATATGTGTGCCATACAATGCCGATCCCGCCTAAACTCATGCCTGAATCGAACTTCATAAAAAGGCTCCAATAAATTACAATTTTATGCAGTATAACTTTTTTGAGTTAAAGATGTAACATCACAAAATAGCTAATTAAATAAATTATATGGAGTATAATATAAAAATACCAAATGTATTAAAAGTAACTAATTAAGTACAACCCGTCGTACAGTTTTAGCAGCAAAGGTATTAATCAAGTCAGCAAGATCGAGGTGTTCAATAAATTCCTTTTCAATTAATAACATAGCTAAGTCATTCAACCTTTCAATTGTCAACAAGATTATATATGTGATGTATGTTTTTGTATCCTTTTCCTAACCTCATTTGCCAACAAGTGTATCAATTCATTTTGAATCCTTCCTCCAAGATATGTAACATAAGTTTCATGATCCTTAATAAGATGTAAGTTCTCTATTGGTTCAAACTCAAGATAAACAAAACATAATTTATTGAAATCATAGATATGATAATATTAGTTTTTTTGCGACTTATCCTAATATTAGTTAAACAAATGTGCTGAATAATGCATTATTGTCACTAAATTAGAGGACATAACCTACTTAAAATGTAAATTTTAAATATAAAAAACTAAAATTGTTTAATTATGCATCTCAGCTCGTTTGAATAGTCAAAGATAAGTTCAAAACTTAATTTTCTAAATGTATGAGTCCAGCAATATGATCTCAAATCAATCCTGGAACAATTTATATTTATCTTCGATTAAAACAACACAAGAGTTTTTCATTGTCCAAAACAAATTCAAAATGGGCCCACAAACTCTCTTACTTTACAATCTCAATTCTCAAAAGTGAGAACTTGCAAACTCAAAAGCTATTCACAAAAAAACTGAAAACGGAAAGACATGTCTTTTACCGGCGCACCACCTGACGGCTCTAGTAATCTAGTTCGGATGTTCCTCTTCTAACTTCATTGGTCAATTTGTTGGCTATTTCAATTTTCAAATGCAACAACGATATAATTTAACAAAGGCATATCTTTTATATGTAAAAATACATATAATACATATAAAAGGAAAATAGCTAAAATATTGGGCCCCTAAATTTTTTACTTTTTTGTGGCCCTGAGGCCCATGCCTCAGTGGCCTCACAGTAGGCACGGCTCTGCCATATTTACTTGAGAATTAGAAGATAAACAACTTGTAGCTTTCAGATTGTGAGCGATATTATCTTCTCTTACCGTGCATAGATTTTTCATCCAATTCGTGATTAGAGCTTCGATGCAAACTTCGCCCTATTAAAAAAGTTCAATATAAACTGATTCAATTAAATATAATACACTTCCCGTCAAACTTGCTACTTAACATTAGTGCACTTCGATCAAAATCACTACACTTTCCTCCAACATTACTTTCGTTTCCACCCACGTTATTACCCTCTGCTGACGTCATTATCCACCCCGTCATTCATGACGGCGTTACTACTTTATGTTGTATAAAACATAAAACATGGATTGTGTCATCTTTCATTTTTTTTCACGAGTTTGTCATAATCATTGCAATAATTTCATAATCGTTGACATTTTTCATAGGGGCCCATACTATAATTTCTGATCTATTTTGCTCTGATATCATGTCAAGATTCATGGTTTCATATTTAAGCTCAACTTGATAAGACGAGTAATTTAACATCTTAATACAGTACTTTATTAATTAATGTTTTACCAATATCAAAATACTTCATCACTCCTTTAATGACCAAACACTTGTCAAGATCGTGGTATCATCCATTTTTCGCCAGTTCCGCATAGTCTGATTTGATTTGATCTGATCTGGTATATTTAAGTCTGGTCTGGTCCGAACTTGTCTGAACTGATCTCATAAATGTCTGGTCTCTGTGTATTTTATAATTATTGAACTTTGGTATAATCTGTTTAAGTCTGACATGGTCAGATCTGATCAGTTTCAATCCGTTTTCTTCTATTCTGGTCTGGTTTGGGCTTAATTTAGTTCGTGTATAAACATCCCAATATTCAAAAATATGTAACTAGATAAAATGTGGCTAGTATTAAAAAACTACTTAAAATGTGATTAATATCTAAATAAAATTATGTCTAGTATAAAACAATTGTATGACTAGTAACAATGTAACATAATTACAGGGAACACTAAAGATTTTTATCATCTGCATAATGATATTTAGTTTGGTGGTAAGAGGAGAGGAAGATTTTGAAGGGAAATAGGAGTGGAAAAGGGGGGTCAAGGTTTTGAGGGGAAGTAGAGGAAAGTTTTAGGAGATGCAACTTGGGAAATGGAAAGAGCAAGACAATGAATGGGAGATACATACTTTCCCTAACTATTATTGGAATTTCATTTTAATTCCATTTATAATTGGATAAAAAATAATTAAAATACCACAAACTTTGAAGGGGTGTGAGGTAAGCATCAAAAATGTTAATTTTTGTGTTAATTTCATAATTTAAAACATTTTGGCATTCATGAAGATATAATTAACATTCTAATATTCCATTGCAAAATAAGTAATATTACCCCCACTCTATATAATTGGAACGTTTTTAATTTTTTGTTCTAAATTATGCAATTAACAATATAAATTTACATTTTTGAAAAAAGTAATATATGACTATGGTACTAAAATAACTTTTTATATAAAGTTTAGGATTTTTAAATTACATATGAAAGTTTAGGGTGTTTACCTCACACCCTTCAAAGTTTAGGATATTTTTATTATTTTTCCCTTTGTAATATTATGTGTGAGTTTTTCTATTTAATTTGTTATTACAGGGTGGACCCGATTCGTCACACAACTGTAACAAAGGTAGAGATCAAGACCGGCCCTACTAAATACACTTCTAGTTCCGTTATAATATACGGAGTAGTGTAATTGGATCGGTTCCGTCAGGGTATTCTTTATCCTCCAAAACTTCCTCTCTCCTGCAAAACTTCACTCCAAATCATTATTATTATATCCTAATAAGCAAAAAGATTTTGGAATAGTAGATATCGTTTTCAATATTGAAGTTAAAATAAATGATGAGAATTGGCCTCCAACCAAAGTCACTACATTGAGCAGGTGACTATAAAAACACCATAAATGTTAAACTTGAAAAAACTACAGAACACATGTGTTTTATTTTGACTTGCAAAGATGCAAGTACAACTAAGTAGGTTAGGAGTTGAGTTTTGGAGGGGAAGGGAAGGTTAATGAGGGTTTAAAAATTAAAACTCTCCTTTTTATGTTTGGGAGTTTAAAAAATGGAAGAGGTGATTTTGGAGGGCTTTTGCAACTCTTCAAAACCCTCCAAACTGCTTAATTTTTAAGTTCACCCGATTTGGAGGGTTTTGAAGGATAATTAACAAGATTGTAATTTAAGCTAAATTAAAAATGAATATCAGCTAAATGATTTGAATTTATCATATCTCAAAGTGATTTTAATTATAATTCCTACAAAAACCCTATTCTTCCAATTTTATTACTCCCAAATACAAAGAAGGGTTTCCTCACTCTCCCCTCCCTTTCCCCTCCAACAATATACCTCCAAAATCTTCCCCTCCCCTTCCCTCCAAACTCCCAAACATACCGTTAAAGGATATACTTAAAGGGAATAACTCTTCTCACATTTACGGGTCCGTCCGGACAGCTCCAGGCTCATGCACCAATCTAACCATTTCTCCAAAAGTATACTTCCCATCGAAACTTTATACTTGTAACTAAGGGCGAAATAACAATAAATGATTTTTTCTTTCACTATACCTATATACTACCTCCGTTCTTAAATAAGTGCAACATGTGAAATTTTACACTGTTCACATGTTCTACTTTGACTACATTTTATTTATTGATGTATTAATATATTTTTTTGAAAAATATATTATTAAATTTGTCTTATTGTAAATTTTCAAAAACTATTTTTTTTTTAATTTTTTACTACTAGAGAATTATATATATTAATGGTCAAAGTTGTGTTTCGACAAGTGTGAAATGTTGACTGTTGCACTTATTTAAGAACGGAGGAAGTATTATGTTTAACCTTTTTGTTCACATGTAGTATACTAGTAGGGTGTGTTTGGGAGTTGGGGTTTGGAGGGGAGGGGAACCCTTCAAAACCTTCCAAATTCTTAATTTTTAAGTTCCTCCAATTTGGAGGGTTTTTGAGGATAATTAACAAGATGTTAATTTAAGCTAAATTAGAAACAAATATTAGCTCAATGATTTGAATTCGTCATATCTCAAAGTGATTTTAATTATAATCCCTTCAAAAATCCTCTTCTTCCAATTTTATTACTCACAAATACAAAGGACTTTCTCACTCTCCCCTCCCTTTCCCGTCCAACAACATACCTCCAAAGTCTTCCTCCCTTCTCTCCAAACTCCCAAACATAGTCTTCCTCCTCCACTGAATATACCAAATTATTTTTCATTAGTGCATTTCTTAGAAAATAAATGAAAATCAATACTAGTCAAGTCCAATCCTACTTTAGAGGAATCAAGGTCCTAACTGATTAGGAACTATTGGGAGATATTTTGGAATATTATTTAAGGATAGTTTTTCTTTGTATGGTTGGAATATTTGGTAATTAATTTAGATAGATTCTATGATACCCATAAGGTATCATACCTTTGTCCACATAGACCAATCAGAATGTAGCAATTGAATTATTTAAATCTAAATTAAAAATGATAAAGTTATGTGGTCCAATCAAATGAATGGTGATACGACACCCCAATTTTAGAAAGGTACCGGAGTTGTCACCATTAATTGGACCACATCACTTTATCATTTTTATGGATGACCGATCCCATTAAATCGGCATCCCCATTTCCTTGTATTTAAACAGGCCGAATGGCTCTCAATAAACTACTCCCTCCGTTTCTGAAACAAGTTCCACATTTGACTTCACACATATTAAGAAAATAAATTTGACTTTACTGTGGAGTGCACTGTTTGAACACCGTTTGACACTGTTTGACACTGTTTGACACTGTTTTGATGTAGATAATTTACCAAATAAGAAAATGTTTGAAAGTGGAACTTAATTTTGAATCTGCCCAAAAAGGAAAGATGGAACTTCTTTTCGAATCGGAGGGAGTACTTAACTACAGAAGCATTATCAACTTTAAACTCTTTTCTCAATTTGCTTTCCTACGTAATACGAACTTATTAGGAACAGTACCACTTGTGGTTCGAAATCCGAAAAACATGTGCACGGTTTAGTTTTTTACTCACCCAATCTTGTTAAAAATAGGGGTGATTGGTGGAAATGAAAACCGAATAGAAAAAATCCAAACTGCAAGTAAATTTAACCAAACAATAGAAAAATCAAACTCATAAAATCGAACTAAATTGTAATTGTTTGGTTTGATTTTGCTTTCACCTTTAAACATTGAACCGGTCTGCACAAACCGGACTATTTACAACATGCTATTTTATTTAAATTCATATTTCAGTTTTGTTGTTCATAATTCATAAGCCGAACGACTAAATTCAGTTTATTCACTTCGATTCGATTCAGTGAGTCATGAAGGATTTGTTATTCACACTATAGTTAACCAACTATATTAAATAGTTGGGAAGACTATCAAATAAGCCCCCAACAATAAAAAAAAACAAATTAAGCCCCTCAACAGAAACTTCCCTCAATTAAACCCTTGAACCCATTAAAAACAGCCAAATCCTCTTTTTACCTTGTAATTGACTGGTTAGCAACCTAGGTGATTATTTGGCCAAATCCTCTACTTCCCCAATTTGAAAACCAGAAGTTAACCCTAAGTATGCAGACAGAGGCGAGCGTGTAGAGCTACGGAAAAGAGGCGAGCATGTAGAGCTACGGAAAAGAGGCGAGCGTGTAGAGCTACGGAAAAGAGGCGAGCATGTAGAGCTACAGGAAAGAAGCGAGTGTGTAGAGCTGAAAGAAGACGAACGAATAGCTGGAAACGAAAGTCTTGAGCTGCACTTTAAGAGTAATCGTACGTTTGGCGTCTTCTTCTAAAAGGTTAGTACATGTGTGGAGTGCGTAAGGATTATTGTGAGTACACCTACTTTTTCAATTTTTTGCTTACATTGAGTTATTCTGTACGGACGAGTGAATTTCAGCATGTAATTTACCCACAAGATGTTTGACCGAGTTGAACTTGTTATTCACCATGGTGGAAATTTCAGTTATTAGGCTAAGTGTGTGTACATGGGTGCTGATGTTGATAAATTTGTAACTGATCCAGATTTAATCTGCTACCTACATCTAATGACGTGTTTGAAATCTGGTAATTATGGGAATATTAATGGGTTGTATTATAAGAGACCTAAGGACCCTATGGACAGTCTACATCAGCTATTCAATGACGAAACCACCTTACATTTAATTCAGTTGGCAACAGGTTGTGGAACATGTGATATCTTTGTAGAATATGGGATAGATGATGTTGAGTTGGTTGACATTTTTCCCTTATCTGCACCACATGTTGAAGATACACACACTGACAGTGACATTAGAGTCTCAAATGTTCAAAGATACGAACAGGGAGGTGAGGAGAGTGACCATGAAGCTGCTCAATAGGGGATAATGTAAACCAGATCGAATGATGAGTCACATCGGAGCCTCAAATGGGAAACGGACTGTTGAAGAAGAAGAAACACATGACAATGTGTACACTGAAGAGGAAGATGACTTGGAAAAGGGTGAAAGTGGAGAAGAGAGTTCAAGGGTTAAACAAAACATGATGAGGATTTAAGAGGGCAAGATGGGGGAAGGAAGTGAAAGGCAATACACCCAATCTACTAAAAACAAAATTCAAGATTGGGGTGCTTGTGACTCAGAAACAAGTGTTGAGTATGATTCTGACAACCATTCCAGCATACATTCAGAAGAGGAGGAAGATGAGACAGGTGTGCAGCAAAAAACAAAGAAGGCAAGGCATGCAAGCTATTACCCAAAGTCAGAACCACCTCATACTGAGTTGGCCATGCTGTTTGAGGATGGAAGGCAGTTTAAAAATGCAATGATGAGATATGTTGTAAACAAAAAAAAGAGACATTCTGTTTGCTTAAAATGCACCAAAGAGAGTGCGTGTGAAGTTTGGTACAAATTGTGCTTTTAGGTGCACTGTTACATGGGATAAAAGGCATCATTGTATGTAAGTGAAGGTGTTCAGAAAACGTCATTTATGCAATAAGAAGTTTAAATTGGGGGTTGTTAGTCAAAAATGGATTGAAGAACGTATGAAGAAAAAGTTTTTGCTAATCAAAACATGACTGCCATGGACTTAAAAGCTCTTATTAAGATTAATGTTTCTGTGAATTTGGTGAGTAGGGAATGAGGGGAATACATGGAAAAACAAACTCTACTTTTAAGGACCAATTTGAGAGAATTAGAGATTACGTTGAGGAGTGTCTAAAGTCCATTCCTGATAGTACCGTGATCATAAAAACTGTTAGAGTTGTGCCTGAAGCCCCATGTGTTTTCCAAAGGATATAATTCAGCTTTGGAGCTGTTAAAATGGGGTTTCTAGATGGGTGTCGAAAGGTGATTGGTGTTGATGGTTGTTTTCAGAAAGGTCAACTAAAGAGTGAAATATTGACTGTCGTTGGTAGGGATGTTAACAACCAGATGTATCCAATTGCTTAGGCTGTTGTGGAGACCGAGAACAATTCTTCCCGGACATGGTACCTAAAGCTTCTTAGAAAAGACCTAAACATTGAAAGATCAGGCTTGTGGACTATTATCACTGACCAGCAGAAGGTTTGCCTCCTCCTTTGAACTCTAATACTAATTTTTGCCACTACCAAAAGGCCTTAATGCATTAATCACATTTGATCATCATCCCTGTACCATTATATTTTATTAATTTTGTGATCCTTATTTTTTTGTAGGGACTGTCCAGTGTTATAGAGCAGGTATTGAGTGGAATTGAGCACAAAAATTGTGCTAGGCATATACACGTCAATCGGAGCAAATCTCACCGTGGCTTGATCCTGAAGAAGTTATTCTGGAAGGTTGCAAAGTCCACATCACAACAAGAACTCCAAGCAACCATAAAAGAGATGGAGAAAGTAGTTTCTCAAGCCATAGATTTACATAAATATCCGCTTCAATTATGGTGCAAGGCATTCTTTAGAGTGGGTGTGAAGTGTGACGTGTGCGATAATATTTTTTCTGAAGCCTTCAGTAGTACACTCTTAAGAATGCAGATCCAATCCCTTAATTATAATGCTAGAGGATATAAGGGTGGGAATGATGAAGAGAATTGCGAAGAAAAAGAAGGCAATGCTTAAATGGCCAGATATTTTTCCTTTAATGCGAATGAGTGATTTTTTCCTTTATATAGGAACCCATAGTTTATGACATGTGTTCTGTGTTTTTCAGGAAACTTTGGATCCATTATAAGAAAAAAGTTGAATAAGAATATTTATGCCGACTCTGGATGGCATGTTGATTTCAATGGAGACGACAGATATGAAATCAAGAAGGGAAGGCATCAATTCACAGTCACGCTAGAAGGCAGATCTTGTAGTTGTAGAAAGTGGGATGTTTCAGGTAGTCCGTTATGAAAAGCCTGGTAAAAGTAGTTTTTTTTCTTTTAGTTATACTGTTTTGAATTGTTATTTAAGGTATACCTTGCGCACATGCTATTCTAAACAAATGTATCAAAGAACATACTCTCATACTCTACAACCTATTAATGGTGAAATGTTCTGGCCGACAACTGAGCATGAGGAAATCCAAGCGTCTATACCCAAAAAAATGAGCGGAAGGCCAAAGAAGAAAAGAATGTGTGGAGAAAGTGAACCTCTCTCAGCCACTCAACTGTCAAGGAAGGGCATAGTTATGTCATGCACAATTGGTAAGGAGAATGGTCATAACATGTTGCGTTGTCCAAAAAACATTGCACCTACTCCGACTACAACAGGCAGAGGAAGAGGAAATGGGAGAGGAAGGGGGAGAGGGAGACAAACTGGATCAACTATTGATGCACCTATTGGAGGTGAAGTTGGAGTAGGGATGGCTAGGGGAAGAGGAAGAACGAGGGGGGAAGGAAGAATGAGGGGAACAGGGGAAAAGGGAGAAAGAATGAAGCTGAATCAATATGATTCCTACTCCCTCCGTCTCATTAGAAGATTCTCACTTTCCTTTTTTAGACGTCCGTATAAAGGTTCTCATTTCCATTTTAGGAAACAATTAACAATATTAAGTGACAAATTAATCATTAAATATTAAAAATAATACATTTATAACATCACAATTATCAATACTAACTACATTATAATATATACCTATTAAAATTATTTCTCAAAATATATCTGAAGCACTTTATTTAATTAATAATTAAAATTCATGAATTTAATTTTATGTTTCTATCTATCTCATGTCACGTGTGCACAAATGTACATCCTTACATTGGACATGCTCTTACAACCATATAGCTAATACAACTTTTTGCATTTGAATTTTAATTATCATACTTGAATTATGATTTTGCTCATCAATAAAAAATGAAAAAGTTCACTAATATTATTCTTGAAAGAGTGATGGACAAAAATGTGATTTGATATCTTTTAGTAACTATAATTGCGTTCGAAGATGATCATGGGCCTCGATCAATATGGTTTGTCACTTTATTTTGTATGTTAATTACGGGGTGAGAGGTGATGATAGATGCGATTCTTTAGGAGGAAGATAGCATCCAAAATGAATTTAGGGGGAAGATTAATTAAGGATGGACCAGGCCCGATCCGGACCGGTACCGGCCCAGCTGCCCAGCTTGTACCAATTTTTTGGGACTAAGGTCTCAGGTCGGATCGAGCGGGACAGGTCAGGCTTCTTTTTTTTTTTAAATGTTGTTTTAAAATTAATTGAAGAAGTGCTAGATATAAACTACAATTGAGAATTGAGAAAAATTTAAAACATTAAATACCATATATTAAGTAGATAATAAATATGAGTAAATATAATATATGTATTTATAAGTAGATAATAAGTATATAAGTGGATATAATAATTGCATAACTCATATATACTATAATGTTTATAGTATATAATATATAAGTATACTACTATAAGATGAGTAGAACACTTATATTTAATACTTTAATATACCCCATTTTATAATATATAATGAGATCGAAACAAGCTTGCATTCGAGTAGGCCCTACTTTCTTTTGTTATCAGTATACCCCTAAAAGCTTGCATTCGAGTAGGCCCTACTTTCTTTGGACTAAAAGTAAAACTAATTCTTTGTTATCAGTCCAACTCGTCCACAATTTATTTGGACAATTTTAGGCACCAATTTATGTATTCCATGTGAAGTACACTTTTGTTTTATGTTGCTTTAACACATAGATTGTCTGATTGTCATGTGAGGATCTTACTATTTTGCCAGGTTTTAAATTCCTATAATTGTGCTAAATATAAATTCCGCTCTTTCTATAAGAACTGTTGAAAAAAAAGCTCTGGATAAGGTATCAAAATACTTTCTAAATTTTTATGTAAAGGCTTTCTTAATGGGGCTTCATTAAATTTTTATTCAGTTGTGGCTACTCATGAAAGCTCAAGCGAACTAGATGCCGAATATATATGACTGAATCTTGAACTTTAAATATTACTTCGCAGTTGTTTTTGTTTTTTATGGTGACGTTCAAGTGTTTGACCAGAAAATCCTTGTAAAGTATTAACAAAAAATGAATTCGCTCCGCTCCTAAATAAACTTCACACTCTCCTTTTTGGATAGGTCCAAAATAAACTTCACGCTTCTTCTCCCTTCCTTATTTGGCAAATTATCTACATCAAAACAGTGCAATACAATGCCAAACAGTGCACTCTACAATAAAGTCAAATTTATTTCCTTAATTTGTGTGAAGTCAAAGTGTGAAATTTATTTAGGACCGGAGGGAGTAAATGATAGTCTTACTTGAGGACTCTTACTTGTGCCAAAAGTTTGCATAATAAAAGCATTAGAGTTTAAAGTCAATTCAACTATGCTTCTTATTGTCCTTCGATTGAAGTAACATGTTCCAAGTAAGAGTGGACCTGCATGATAGAAGCTGAATATACACTGACACTTTTCCCACCAAGGGGATGAGGGAGGTCTTGCTATCCATAATTCTTCCTACTTTTACTGAGAGTAACACATTGGCAGATTGGCTGATAAGGCAATGCAGAGGATGATAATAGAGATAAACAAGTTCATGTGGTGCTAGGACCAGTTCTGGTCTCAGGTCCCATAATTCCACTCTAGGACCAGAACTAGAACTAGGGGTGGACTGGACGGGCCTGGGTTGGGCTTCGGACAGGGACTAGGCAGGCTCTGGGTCCACGAATATCAGGCCCCATACCGGCACGGGTTCCTACCGATACCGGGTCAGGCCAGACTACCCGATCGAGCTTCGGTCCAGGCCCAAAAAATTCAAACCACCTTTTTTTTACCATTATACCCTGACTGACCAGGCCGATCCACTAAAATCAAAGCCCAATGTGTACCTCTTCTTCAATCAGGTCAGATCCCGGTCAACCAAGCCGGGGCTGGACAATAGCGGGCCGGGTAGGCCCATCCATCCCTAACCACAACCAGCCTAGAACCTCATCTGTCCATAGCCAATTGGTATAAAAAATATTAGCACATACAATTTCTACAATGGATATTGAGCTCATTGCCTTTCACCTAGGGATGGACTCGGGCCGGGTGAACCAAACTGGAACTGGCCCGAACCGGCACCGTTCCGGCCACAGGCCTGGTCCACGGTTCGGGTCAACCGGCCTGGCACTGTAGAGGGTCGGTTCACGGGCCTCCCAAATCACGAACCGGCCCAGCCAGTTCAGGCCCGGTTCGGTTCATTGTTTATTCACATTTTTTAAAAGGTAAATGGGTTGGGTACTTGGGTTGGGTGTTTTGGAGGGGTTTGGGTGTGGGGGGATTAGGGATAGGAAGTAATTAGAAATAAAAAAATAGGATACACGGCCCGGCCCTCTAACCGCCGGGTGAACCGGCCCGACCCGGAACCGGAGCTACCCGGGCCGGTTTCCGAGTCTCACTTCTCCAAAAAAAGCCTGATGGGAACCGAACCGAGGCCATCCCTACTTTCACCAATGTGACACTCAAAATAACTCGTGGATGTCAAATTAGCGACAATTTCTGTTCTAGTCTATTTAAGTCGTGAAATACGTAAAAATATCATAAGACTAGGAGTATGCGAAACATTTTCACATAAGGTTTGAGAGAGAATAATCATCGTAGTACATTTAAAATTTGGTTTACTCATTCACCGAACGTCTGAATACAAAAATAAAAGGAACTCCTGGAAAGGTTTTAAATTTTTAGAGAGCTGAAAAAGCAGATAAATAACATTAGTCAACTTCATGCGTTCTCTAAATTTAGAAAACCTAAAACCTGTTGGCTTCACTAGTTATCAGTTTTGTTTTAAGAACATAAAAATGTTCCAGTTCTCCAAGATGCAAAACACTTTTTACGTTTTAAATAAAAAAAGGTTTCATAATGAAAAATGGTTGTTTTAAAGTTGTAATTGAGGATGTTTTTACTTGGACTGTAATTCCTTCCAGACCAGACCAGACCAGTTCAGACCAGACCAGTTCAGACCAGACTTGGATACTTATAAAAATACAAAGAAACAAGACCAAACCAATTCAAACCAGACCAGCAAATTACAGTCCAAGTAAAAACATCCTGAATATGTGCTAGAAATAGGAGAGGATCCAGGCCAGTTTCAGTCAGGTTCATGGTACACGGAAGAAATCGGAAACAACCTATTTTGAAGGAATGAATACCTCTTTGGAGTTTGGGTCAGTCTTGCTCATAACCTCTTTGGATCATTTTACCGTTACAGGGGTCCAATTTGGTTTTTAGCTCTTTGAACAAAACTCGGGTCCATTCCTTGCATGAAACCATGTTTTTAATAGAAAACTAAAACTAAAGAAATGGATATCTAGAAAACTTAATAACAGTAAACAGACTCTACATGGAAACAAGACTATTATGTATTTTCAATGCAGCGACTACAATAGAAGGAACCTAGGATAAACCAATGAACCCGGTAATGGAAAAATGAAAAGCAGCATGTTTTCATTCAAGAAGTAGAAGTGTCTTGATTGTTACACATTATAAATAGATCTTCCAAGGAAAAACAAGTCATTCAAGAATTCTTCACACTGACTCATTAACAATCCTTTTTTGAATTGTCTTTACACCTGAGTATAATTTTACTTGCTGTTTTTGTTGCTTTATGTTGTCAATGTGTAGATTTTTAATCTCTAATTCTATTTCTGTTATTATCACGAGTTTTGACAATCTAATGGTAATGGACCAGTCCATCTATGATAACAACAAAGACTTTTGGACAACATTCTACATGTCAAAACTAGGCTTAATGCTCTCCTAGTGCATCATGTATTATACACACCTGGTCTCTATCCCTCTCTATGAATATATAGGGTAGTATTCGGCTTACAAGCAAAAATTACTTAAAGTATATTTTTATTTAAAAAAAATCAATTTTAAGATTAATCATTAATGTCACCAACTTCAAAAGATAAAGTAGTATAGCTGCACTAACCATGTCAAAATCATGCAATTAACATACTGTTGTAAATGTAAAAAAAAAGTCCAGATTACAGCTGTAAGTTACTCGAGTCTGTAAAGTATTCATTACTTTCTAGCTACATTGGGCTTCACAAATGATTCGATGTCATCATGTTTAACGAGATAAAGAACACCACTTGTTCTCTCTTGAACCAAAACAAGCAGTTAGCACACAGCTAACTGTTAGGGATGGGGGCAATAAAAACAGATACCATAATGATGTTGAGACAACAATTGGACAGAAAGGTGGTTAAGGTACAATTGTTTGACAACCTCAATAATGTGCATTAGACAAGTAGCATGATGAATCTCATGGAAATTGCCAATAGTCGAGCAATAATATCAGTCACAAAAGTTATGTTGCAAAGTTTGTCTATCCATCGACAGCCGACCTCACTCAAAAACCCCAAATATAAAAAGGATAAATAATGCTGTCTTTTAAAAAAGCATACAAATGAGCAGACTTACCAAAAAACAACCTCGGGCTCTGGCAGATCCAAGTTGTTTAGCAAACTACAAGAGCACAAGCCCGAGTTCCGATGGCCTCAAAACGTGCCTTACCCGGTAGTTGTACAGATAGTAGTGAAGTTTTCCGTCGCCAGGACCAAACTTCAGTTCCTTCAAGAAGCTTTCATTGTGCATAACGTCCAAAGAATTAAAAACATCAAAATCCTTTTGCTTTGCCACAATAAGAGCATCATTGATCAACTGAACCAACGGTGTCTTTGTCGACACGTTGTAATAAGAATAAGCAGCCTTTAGGGTGGAGTAATTCTGACTCCCAAGTATCGATGAAGGTAGAGTATAAAAGCTACAGAAATCAGTTATTTCATGTGTCTCTGGGCTCTCAACAAGATAGCTATCAACGACACCATCCTTTGGAAGAAGCCAATGCTCGACATCATTTTCATCAAATTCGGGCGCAACGACAAACTGATTCAAGTAGTGTCTTAGCAGACGGGTTACAGCAGGAACATCATGTGGCTCCATTTTCCTGAACCCGCGGGTGGATGTCTGGTCAGGTAACTTGTACAGCTTTATAGTCCGGCTCATTGTCATCCTAGCGCCAAGTCTTGAAAACCCAACATCGATAAGTTTCTTAGGATTCAATGACCTATGCCAATATTGGCATGTCGTTATGGGTGTGGGAAGGACTACTCCAGCTGTATAAGCTGCTTGCCATACATTCTCCAGGTGAACTCTCCTTGTGACTTCTTTGATCATGACAGGAGCAAGACGTTTCGATCTTAGCTTCTTATGAACACATAGAAAATTGACCTCCGCCATGTTCACGATGGAGTCATGGACGCGTATCTTTGCAGGTATCCCGGTGATAAAAGCGACCAGCTTTTTTGAACTCTTGGCCCGCACCCCTATGTGCCAACTTCTGTAATAGCCCGGAGGACGAAGAGCCCACCCAAGAAACTCCTTGGAATAGTTGAACCTGAACATGTTTTCATCATCCTCTACGTAATTATGTGTGAGGAGATTGTAAACCTCCATGCACATATCTTCAGAGTCCATGTCACAAGTAATCCACTCATACTGAGCAGGAAGATTGTAAGGCTCTTGTTTTACCTCGGACAGTGGAGTTGGAGGCTCAATTGGACCATCATTCAGGCTTGTATCAGCAAGGTCCTTGAACTGGCCCACGGGTTGGGTTTCCCAGAACTTATGTCTTTTAGCAAGAGAGAGCGATTCTTGGACCTTTCGGGATAAAGAGTCGACTGATATTTCATTTTCATTTTCTGGGAGTATGTTTCCCTTGAGAGTAGGATCCTGGGAATCTGCTTCTTTAGTATAGTCGGCCATTTAGTCAACTTCAATTGTTACTCTGTTATAAAACACCATAGAAGATACTCAGATAGATATAACTAGACATGAGCAGCAAAAGCGAGAGAAAGATGTGTAGGGAGTGATGGGGAAAAACATGAGAACATAGCCAGGTTGATAAGAAATGCATATGTTTCGTATGTTTCCAATGCAAAATATATATTCATATCTCCTCTCTTTCCGTTCTTCATATAATCACAAAAAATGGTTCAATTAAATTTATTATATGGAATCTACTAATCTATTAATTATTAATATAGAAAGAAAAAAATTCTAGCCAAGCAAGTTGCCACAAAAAATGGTATACCATAAGAACGTGAAGTTGCGTCTCAAGTGAATAAGGGGGTGTTTGGAACTGATTCTGCTTCTGCTTCTTTTTTAAAGCAGAAGCAGAATAAGTTTTCAGAAGCTGGTCACCCCAGCTTCTAAAAAACTGATTCTAGGAGTAAATTGGAGCACCCGAATCACTTCTGCACTTTCACCCAAACACTCCAACTTCTACTTTTTTAAGAATCAGATCCAAACACCCCCTAAATCCATAATCATGACACTTTTTTTATTCTTTAAAAAAACTGCACATACTCTAGTGAGTCATACTGTATTACTTAGTTAATATTGCTCTTAATTGCAGGAAATCCAGTTTTAGAGCGGAATGTTAAGGAATAACTATATACTCGTATATGAGTATCCAGTTGAAGTCAAACACAGTAAAGGTCCAGCACACTAATGGTTACCCAAAATTGTTATTACAGCAATTAAGAATAAATAAAATCTCTTTTAATCTAACGATTTTCATACAGATTAGAAAAAACAAGAAACATTTTCTTTAAAAAAAAGAAAAGCTTAACTTTATTGGCCGTCAAAGTATTCGTGAGTTAGTAAGAATCGTCGCTTGATATCATCAAACAATAATGGAAAGTGAAATCAATACCAGACCTTTGGGTTTTAGAATAGATTGGTATGAAACATAAACATGCATTTAACGAATAAATTCTAACGAAAACCAACATACCTGGAGATTCCGCTACTGAGCGGATGGAAGATCTTCGGTACTTTGCATCTTTCTGTTGAAGATCGACGAACGAGATTCAATAGTCGGTGAGATCTGTTTATCTATTTGGCCATGTAGAGGCTGACGGCGTATCCATGGAAGCTGGTATAAAATCTCTACAGGTGTGAGATAGAAGGAATGGATATCGGTGATATCAGAGAGGGGGTGGCGGGTGGGCTGAGGTGTAGGTTGCATATTGGGTTGGGTTATTTTTGGGCCTGGGTTAAAATGGATCAAACAAAATTATTTAGGGTGATTCTCTTCGTGGTCACATATTTATTTTGGGTGGTTCTATTTACAGCCACCTTTTTGCTAAACACAGCCACTAAATTAAATAGAAATAATTAAAAATAAATCAAATATCTTAATTACCCTTATCGAGACCTAATGATCGTGTAAGTGATCGACTACCCATCCTCGCTACTCCAAGAAAGCAATAAACGCAGAAGAAACCTGGGAAGTTTAGTGCAAGCCTCGAACACAAAACACAGACCTGGAAAGCTAAGAGGCAAACGTGAAACGCAGAAAGCATACTAGGAGGAGGCACAACGCAAACCTAGAATACAAAAACGCAGAATCACACTAGCAGCCCGGGAAAGGCAGAAAAGAAGGAAGAAAGCAATAAACGCAGAAAGCCAAAAAAATGTTTCCCTAATTCCACATGATGTGAGTACAATATCATCAATCATTCTTATATGATAAAAAAATCATCAATCATTCTTGCATTATCATTCATCCTTGTTCCTTTTGAGTTATGACTAACTTTATTGTCTACATAGTACATGATTGATCTCTCTTGTTTGTATATTAATATTGCTATGTAATATAGTGGGGCAATTGATTACCTTAACTAGTAGCAACCTTTCAACGGTATACAGATTAAACAAAGAAAAAATATAGGGCCAGCCCAGGGCAAGTGTAGGCAGCCCGCTCGCACAGGACCCATAATTTCCAAGGGCCAAGAAATGCGAACTCATTAGGTAGTTCAAAGACATAAATTCCTTAATTCCTTAACTAAATCTATTGTAGTTAAATCATCCATTGATAGAGTATATCTAGAGAGAAGTGAGAGCTAGAGAGAGAAGTGCAGTAATATGCTTGAATAGAATGAATTTGTAACCCCTATAACTACTCCCAAGGGGAGTATTTATAGAGAAAATACGGGCTGGGCTCCCAAGCCTTGGGCTTGGGAGGCCCATTTACAACTGGACCGCTACTGGGCCGAATACAAAGCCACTAATGGGCTGTACAAATGAGTAAGTGTAGAATCCGGTTCTGTGAGGTCTTTGTGGCCGACGAGGGCGCGGCCGACGAGGGCACGGCCGACGAGGGCACGGCCGATGAGGGCACCCGGGTTCCTTGGCTTCAGGACCATAATCTGAGTTGGCACCTTCTCGGCCGACGGGGGTCCCTTGGCCGACGTGGGCGCCACTCGGTGTCTTGTGCTTTCTGTTCTTCTGAGTATGTGGGTCCGGGGGCTCAGACCCATATACTCCATCAGGAGTCCCCCACTCTCTAAGCTGAGACGTAGACGAAGTGAAGGAGAGTAGATTCCCGTGCTTTGGTGCTTTTGGCCGATGCGGGCATTCCCAGGCCGTTAGCTGTTGCGGCGTTGGCGCTGTCTCCATTTCGGTGATCCTGTTCTGTGCTTTGACCGTTACCTGCTCCTCACTGTGGACGGGGAGGCTGTTGTTTACTTGATGTGTTCGTTTGGGGACGATGAGTGTCCTGCTTCAATGGTGGCCGTTGGAGGCGCGCTTTCCCTTTCTTGGGCGTTGATGGTTGAAGTTTACATTTGGGCCGATGAGGCCGTTGAGGTTGAACCTTGCTTCGAGGACGATGGCGTCCTTTCCTTTGGGTGGCCGATGAGGGTGTTTGCGCACTCCTTTTGGCCGTCGCTGATTGGCTTTCGTGTTCTTGGCCGAAGAGCCCATTATGATTAACTGTGGCGGAGGACGATGAGTGTCCTTGCCTTAGGTGGCCAGTTGGCCGTTGCTGGTGACGTTATGTTCCTTTGGCCGACGAGGCGCAGTGTGATACATGGACGATGTGGCCATGCTTCATGGTTACATTTGTGTTTGCATTTTTCCTTTTGTTTGTTGAGGCTGGTGTAGTCCCCCAGTCCCCCACTGCTTCAGGCCGAAGAGTGTGAGGGGTGAAGGAGTTGCTTGAGTCCCTGGCCGAAGCGGCCTCTCCGTAGTGCCCCTGAATCCAACCCTCATGGCGATTTTCTGGCCAAGGTAACCCTGTGGAAGAACCCTTGTGCGCAGATCGCTTGTAAAGAGTTATCATCAAGGGTCATTACGAGGAGCCGATGGGCGTTCATGGCATTCCTGGCCGTTGTCATCTCCTTATTGTTGGCATTTGTGAACTTGGCAAGCAAATAGGCCGTTGTGGGCGCTTGCTGGCACTTGTGAAGCCGGCCAGCGTATAGGCCGTAGAGTCTGATTTGCCAGTGGGCTCTTGATATGTAGGTTGGGCTTGGCCCGTTGGTGATGTGGTGGCCTCCCATTGGTGGCCGTTGATGTGGCCATTGGGAGGGTGCCACGTGTAGTGACCGTTGGGTGGGGGGTTCTATAAATACCCCTCCCCCTCCGACGAGAAACCTCATTTGCAATCTGAGTTGTCGAAGTGCTGGCCAAATTTCTAGAGAGATAAACTCCCAAGCTCGTGTTCTTCGTGTTCTTCGTGTTCAAGGTTAGTGTTCATCGCAATCTTCTGTACTTTGCATACTTTGCTTCCTGGGCTAGTGATCTAGTGTTAGGCGTTTGAACACCCTTAGATCCTAAGTTATTCCCCTTAAGCTCGTAGTAGTTGTTATGATGAAGAGCTTAGACGAAGAGTATTATCCGTACGACGACCAGCCCTCCACTAGGTCACTCGACTATGAGGTGCTTGAAGAGTTCGAGGAAGAGATAGAATGTTTAAGTCCTTACAAGTCCGGAGAGCCGGTGGACGACAAAGTTGAGGACGAGGAGTCCGCCTCATCTTCAAAAGGTGAGGACGCAGGTGCGCCCCGAGTGGTGGACGGGGCGTCTACTTCCGCTGTTATTCCATGCCCGAGACCGGTGTCTGCCGTGAAGGGAGCAGATAAGCCGAAGAGAATAAGGAGGCCGAAGAATGGGCCGGGCATCTCCTACCTGGATCTCACAAACATCTTCCTGATCAAGCCGGAGAGCAGTGCGGCTGACTATTTGGTTGCCCAAATGTACGTGGGGCCGTTCGGGCGGGTTAGGGCACCCAGGCCGACGGACCATGTACTTCATCCGCCCCCGGGATACTTTGGAGTATACCCGATGAGTTTCGCCAAGGGGCTGAGGTTTCCCCTTCATCCCTTCATCACCGAGTATCTTGACATGGTGGGGCTCCCTCCGGCCTTGCTGACGCCGAACAGCTACTCATTGATGGTGGGGTTCTTGCTCCACTGTGAGGAGCTGGGCTACAGGCCGACGACGGCTCTGTTTATGAATCTGTATCAGATAGGCCGAGGAAGCCACAAAAACTGTGCGGCCTATGCTACCCTCCAACAGCTGCCGAAGAAGAGGAGCTTCACGGATTTGCCTTCGTCCATCCATGGATGGAAGAGCAAGTTCGTTTTTGTATCCCTTGGTGAGAACGGCACCGAGTTTCCCTCCCTCGGCCATACCGGGAGGTTCAATCTGCACGACCCGCTGAAGAGTTCTATCTTGGACGCTCAGGTGGAGGCGTTCTTGGAAGGGGGGCCGAGGAGCGTGAAGGACTACATCACCGAATACAAGATGACCGCCCTCGGCTTCTTGAGATACTATGTGTATGGCGACAAGGAGGACGATGTCCAACTTTGGCTGAGGATGACCACCACCTTCGAAGAGGCCGACGGCCCGGATTTGGGCATTCCTGCTGAGGCCGATGGTAATTCTTTCTTCGGCTTTCTTCCTTTGTTATTTGTTCTTTTGCTTTGCTAATCTGTTCGTTTTCCTTTGTGTAGATTTTGCCATGGATCGCCGTTCAATCATGGCTATAGCCAAGGCCAAGGCGGCCGAGGAGTTGGCTGCAAAGGCGGCCGAGGCGGCCAAACGTGCCGCGGTCGAGGGATGCGGGGCTACTGCTGGTGCGGCCCCGAAGCCTGCCCAGACCAAGAAGAAGAGGCCTCCCACTGACGGCCAGAAGAAATTGACTGAGGCCGGCCTGAATGTAACCAAGAAGACGAAGAGGGCACCGTCTCCTTCCCATGCTACTGAGGCCGGCACTCTGACCGTCCCAAGTGTGGACGATAGTGGTCCCGTTGTGGATCTCACTGCTGCTCCAAGCGATGCTTCCCAATCGCTCCCTCTCGTCCAGGAGCCACGGACGAAGAGGGCCGGCAAGGAGATTGCCGCTGCCACCTACCAGAAGATGGTGGAATACCCCGTCGGCGGGGGTGTTTTTGATGACGTCGTCCTCGACCACGATGTGCTGGCCCAGGCCATGCCGGCCAAAGATATGGCCTATCTGAAGAGGCTCAGGGACGTCAAAGTGTATGAGGGCGGGATGGACCTCCTCGTCCAAGTAAGTTCCCTTCCTCTTATTTTTCGTTCTTCTCGTCGTCCGGGTGGAATCATTTGTCTGAGTCTTTGTTTGTCTTTTTTGTACAGGGTGCCTTCATGCTCATGGAGAGCCACAAGAGGCAGCACCGGGAGATTGCTCGCCTGAGGGAGCTTGAGCAGAAGGCTGCCTCGGCCGATGAGGCGGTAGCCTGCTTGGATCGGCTCCGGGAGGATGACAAGGCCTTGCAACAGAGGGCCGACGAGGCTGCTGCAGCCAGGGACGATGCCCTGGCTAAACTCGAGGAGAGCCAGAGGGCGCTTGAGGCCGAACGGCGCAAAAACGATGAAGCCGTGAAGGCAAAAGCTGAGGCCGAGGCTGCCGCTGTGAAGGCTGATGATGAGGCCGTTAAGCAGTTCTTGGCCGAGGGGTGGAAGGCCGATGAGCGGCTCTCCTGGTGTTATGAAGTGGTGGCCGCCAGGCTTGAAGATTGGGGAATGAACTCCCCCGCCGGCCAGGAGTATTTTAGCAGGGAGATGGCCGTGTACTATAACATGGGCCAAGAGCGGATGCAGAGGCTCCTGTGTCGGCGGCTATCTCGTGCCCTCAAAGCCATGAATTATACCTCCGGGTGGGCTAGGCGGAACTTGAAGCTTCCAAAGCTGATGAAAGATCCCAAGGAGCA